CAACGACCTCTAGAAAGAGGCTCTGGGCGGGTGCCCCGGCCTTGGACACTCAGTGTCAATTTGCTGTGGCGACCTCAACAGGGTATAATGACACTGAGTCCACCATTTTCTCCAGAGGAACTGATCTCTGCTACCTAAAGAACAGTTGTAATTTTGAGTGATCTCCAGCCCTCACCTGGAGATTGGCAACAATGGTTCCACAGAAGGGAATAGTTGGTTTGGAGGGTGAAGTCTATGGCTTTGTACCTGTCCAAGGTTCCACGCCTCCTGAAACCTCACCCTCTCCAGGCTCCATCCCTCACATCTCCAGGAATTTCCCACCTGGAGTTGGCAACCCTATCTCCTGCCCAGCCAATCATCAACCTACCTTTATTTTCCCCTGGGTAGGAGGGATTCAAGTTTGGGGTGCCAACTCCCTACTCTTGACAGTGCACCCTTAACACCAGCACAGACTGTCAGGAGTTTGGGTGTGGTTCTAGATGCCTCCTTATTCATGGAGACCCAGATCACAAATGTTGCCAAGCTAACATTTTGCCAGCTATGCCAGGTGAGGCAACTGGCCCCCTTCCTGTCTCGCCACATCCTAGCCACAGTAATCCATGCAATGGTCACCTCTATATTGGACTGCTGTAACTAGCTTTATACTGGCCTACCCTTGAGACAGATCCGGAAACTTCAACTGGTTCAGAATGTGGCGGTGCAGGAAACATCATGGAGACTAAATGATGCACTTTGATTACAAGATAAAGTAAAACAAAAATGCAAGAAAAACTTAATAGAATATTTCAATACCAACAATACCAGTGAAATCACAGTAGATACAGGAGGGCAGTAAGGCTTATATTAGGGAAACCCTATCGGCAATAGCTGCAAGAAAGAAAAAAAGAAAAACAGGACTCCATAAAGAAAATAACAGATTAGATAAAGGTATTGGAACATAAACACAAAACCGCTAGTAGTAAGAATAAGCTGAAAGATATGAAACAAAGAACCAATTAGATCTGTTAGAAGTAGAAGAAATGCAGAAAAAAAATATCTAAAACAAAGACACTTTGAATTTGCAAATAAACAGAGGAAAAAAGAAGGCTACCAGGAATTAGGGAAGGAAATCAAATATTCTATTCAGAACAAGAAGAATCTATAGATGAGGAAGGAATGGGAAAATATGTACTTGAGATACCATTTAAAAGGTTTATGACCGAACACAGAAAAATATTAAACCAAGTGGTAACAGTACAAGAAATCAATCATGCTATTAAAAAAAATATATCAAAAAAGGACAAAACTCCTGGACCTGATGGCTTGACAGCAACATACTACAAATGCTTTGAAGATATATTAACAATACCTCTTCAAAAAGCAATGAATGAAATTCAGGAGAGAAAACAAATATCACCAACCTGGTGAGAGGCAAATATAACTTTAATACACAAAGAAGGGAATGATTTATTATTATTATTATTTATTACATTTGGTTTATATACTGCTCAGACCCGAAGGTCTCAGAGCGGTTTACAGGCAGGTGAGTAATGATCCATTACTACCACAGTCTTATAGACCAATCTTTATAACTAAATGTAGATTATAAGATTTTTGCCACAATAATGGCCGAGAGTCTAAGAAAGTGTATTCCAGAATTAATCCATGAAGATCAAACAGGACTTATCCTAAAAAGATAAATGAAGGACAACATCAGATATTTGCTTAACGTAGGCTGCGGTCATACGGAGCATTAGGCATGCTAGAGGGATGGAAGATAGGCGGATTATCCGGGCGCGATCTCACCGCCACATCTGGGAAGCGGGCTCACCCGGGGCTTCACTCCGAAGATGCGCTGTAAAAAACGAGTACCTCTGAGGTACTAGTTTCTGGAAACCGCGGGGCATGGGCGGGCATCTGATCACGTTTCCGGTGGTAGTTTCGGCGCCCGCCCATGTCCCCTCGCAAAAAGGTTTTTTTGTTTTCAAAGTCTCCACGGATGCGCACAAGCACCCAAGGGAGCATGCGCACAGTTGAGTTTTAAAAAAACCCAACCCCGTTTGCCCCGCTTCTTTGCCGCACCGCAGGACTGTGGAGTGATTGGCACCTCCCCCCTACCACAGGACCTCCACGGGACCTCCACGGTAGATCTGCTCGCGCAACCGCATGGTTTTTAGCCCCGGGGCAAACAGCCACGCTTTCCCCCCGCATTTTCCTGCCAGTGTTCCCGCAGCCGTAAATGAATATTCTAGGAGAAAAGACGGAAAAAGACGGAAAAACAAGATTTATGTTCCTGGATGCAGAGAAATTTTGATAATGTGTCTTGGCTATTCTTGATGAAAGTATTACAAAATATGAACTGTGAAGACAAATTCTTAAATTTGATTCAAAGTATTTATACTGTTCAGCATGCCAGAGTTTTAGTAAATAGTTCTTTATGGGGGGGAAATGAGATAGCAAAGGGAACCCAACAAGGCTGCCTGATACCACCACTATTATTTATTCTGACAATGGAAATATTGGCCAATAAAATCAGACAAGATAATAGAATTTTTTGAATAAAGGAAAAGGAAGAATATAAGATGAAAAGCTATGCATAGGATGTTGTCATGACAGTAACAAAACCAAGCATTTCCTTGAAATATACAATGGAACAAATAACCAGATTTGGAATCTACTCTAGATATAAACTGAATTAAAAAACCAAGATAATCTTATTAGATAACAACCAATGAAGAACAAAAAGAAATACGGAAATTAACAGGATGTATTTCTGAGAGCATTTGAGACAGGTTAGACTGAGAGCATTTGACTGGCCCAAGATCACCCAGAAGGCTGAGCTACAGGACCAAGCTTGTCCTCCAAAGCTTTGATTGGCCCAAGGTCACCCAGCAAGTATCCACAGCAGATTGGGGATTTCAGCCTGAGATCTCCCAGATCCTAGTGGGATATGCTAATCTCTCCACAATGCTGGCTCTTGCTTTTGCTCTGTCGCTCTAGCAAGCTTCCTCTTTTCTAAGCCCTCTCTTGTGCTACAATTTTGACAGTCTTGCATAGCCTTAGTCCTAGAGAATTCACATCCATTACCTGAACCTAGTGGTTTTGCCTTCTATAATGGAAAGAAAACCAGCCCAGAGAGTTTATGTTCTTAGCCCAACACCAATTCTTTCCAAAAATCTTTGGAGAACAAGCTTCCTCCTGTAGCCCAGCCTTCTGTGTGAGTATGCACATGGTTTTAAAGAGATGGTGTTTCATCTTGCTGATAGCAATGTAGTTGGAAATCTGGCACATGTTGGTGTCTCTAGTATCATCTGGCATTGCGCCCATCTTGCCAGTGCTGGTACTCTTCCACTCCCCTTTGCCTTTTCTCCCAAATGTCCTACAGCTCCAGAAATTTCAATCTAGTCTACTCAGGGAATTACCTGCCAGGATTCTTTTACCAAGTGTTGCAAGGCTACAAAACTACCATGACAGTACAGTGCAATTACATTCTGCCACCGTGTAACCTGATTAGCTTCAGTAAGGCCAGAATCAGGGTCTGGGGCCTTATATAAGAAGTTGCATCCCATTTTTCTTTGACTCCATTTTGATCACAGGAGGCTATTGACATCCAAAGGCTTCCCCCAACAATACGTGGCAGCAAATCTGAGTTTATATTTGACAACAGCGTGGCCCAAACAACACTTGCTGGGGAGGAGCTGCTAACTCCCCCCGCCACCACCACCATCTCCATGGTCATGGTGGAAAGTGCCATCAACTCACAGCTGACTTATGGCGACACTGCAGGGTTCTCAAGGGAAGAGACAAACAGAGATGGTTTGCTGTCACCTGTCTCTCTGTAGCGACACCGTACTTCCTTGGTGGTCTCCCATCCAGGGCCAATCCTGCTTAAGTTCTGAGATCTGACCAGATCAGGCTAGCTTGGGCCATCTAGATCAGGGCCCATGGTCATGTGCAGTTGGGGGAAAAAAATACTTCCTTGGGTCTGTGTTTCCCTGACCCTGCAAGCAGTAGCCAATGCCAACGCTGTGCAGTCTGGGTGCAGTCTGACTAGGGCAGGTTAGACCATTAAAAAAAAAAACCATGGGAGCAAACTGAGACAAGCACTCCTGTGACACTGGCATTGCCACAGGTACCAGTTGGCGGGGCTCAGACCCGGATTTGGGGCTGGTCTTGTCCAAATGATCCCAGTCGTGAAAGTCACGTGAAGCTGCCTCACAGTGAGCCAGACTGCTGGCCCGGCAAGGTCATTATTCTCTACGCTGGCTGGCAGCAGCCCTCCGGCGTCTTAGGCAGCGGTCCTTCACGTCACCTGTTCTTTCCCCCTTTTCTAAACAGAGATGCCAGGGACTGAACCTGGGACCTTCTGAATTTGAAGCAGATGTTGCTGTATGGAGCCAAGGCCCTCCTTTGTTGACTCACCAGGGAAACTCTGTGGCTACATCCAAGGGGAAAATGTACCTTTTCCTTTGTACCTTCCTGTTTCATGTTAGAGGTCCAAAATAAATACCCATTAAAGCCATTTGAGGGTATAATTTAAAATCAGAGTGATCTTGGATCAAAAAAGGATCTGCACTTAACGTTATTGGTAGGACCTCATTATTTTGAAACTTCTGGCTTTTGTGCACATTTTCATGAGCTTATCCCTGCCAGGTTTCCTTCTCACTCCCAAGCAAAGAAGCCAGAATTTATACAGTGTCATAAAAGTCATTGAAAGTAAGAATGAGATTAATTTTTAGGCTACAGTCATTCCTTGAAATGGTATGGTTAATATTCTCCTGGAGGCTAAAACGTATTTGGACCTATTTCCAACTTTAATGTAAATGATATTCTACCAAGCATTAACTCCTAAATAATATTACCTAGAGATATGTTAATAATAGTTTCTTGTAGCTCCCAGGGATATTAAGGTCTGACAATTCCCAGAGAAGCAAGGCTTTCTATGCAAATTACCTGTAAAACTTGAAAACAATATCACAAGCCCGCTAATTTATTTATTTGGAAAACGTCGTCGGTGTATGATGATTGAGATGAAACGTCTCATTTCAAGAATATCTTTGGGGACACTGGTAAATTACATACTGCTCACAATCATACAATAGGCGGCAGTGCAGAACCCAATGTATGATCAGCCCTGACAACTGCAGAACTTGTTTCAACAGGGCAATAAATTTCCCTAAAAGGTGGAAAGAAAGAAAAAAATTAGAATATCCGATTTTATTAAGTTTCAGACAGATGGCTTGGAATACGTAAAGAACTTCAGTCTGCTTTTCATTGGGGGGGGATTTAAACTGTTTTTCCCCCTACAGTTCATACACAGGCGCGCACACACTGTCGATAATAAAGCCGGTGTAACAGGCCAGATTAACCCCCCGGCCAGAGTAACCCCGGGGTTACTCTGGCCAGGGGGGATGAATCTGGCCTGTTACAGCCGGCCAGATTAACCCGGGGTTACTCTAGCCTAGGCCAGAATAACCCCTCAATAACCCCTCCGGGGTTATTCTAGCCTAGGCCAGAATAACCCCGGGGTTACTCTGGCCGGGGGGTTAATCCGGCCTGTTACACCGGGTTAGAAATCACACGGAACAAAGACGTAATGCCTACATTAAAACAAAGACAGGCCCACTCTTAGCTTTGCAGCTGAAGGGGTAGAACTCTGGAGTAAGGCTTCATTCTCAGGTGGGGGAACTGTAGTGCAGTGGTGGAACGTGTGCTTTAATCCTTGTTAAAGCATCTCAGGTAGGACGAATTTGGAAACACATTGGTTCTTTCTGGGACCTGGAAAGCCACTATAAATCAGAATACAGAATCAATAACTAAGCGGATCAATGGCTCTGTTGGTACAATGCCATTTCCTACATTCAGTGGCTGAGATCACCCTGGGTAAAGTGAGTTTCTATCCTAGTAGTGACTAGGATTGACAGGTGGCAGCTAGATACCTCCTGGGATTACGACTGATCTCCAGGCTACAGAGATCAAAATCGCACAGAGAAAATGGCTGCTTTGGAGGGTGGACTCTTATTGCATTACACCCTGCTGAGGTCCCTCCCGTCCCCAAACTCTACCTTCCTCAGACCCGACCCCCAAAATCTCCAGATATTCCCCAACCCGGAGCTGGCAACCCTAAACGAACCTGACTATGCCGGTTGACTTTTCCACCCGTTGCTAAATGGCTCCCATTCATTCCCTTTAAAAAGAAAAGCAGTACATCGTTTGTTCAAAGTAAAAGCTGTGTTGTCTCATAACCAATTCTAGCTAGGCCAGTGCTACTGATAAAGATCCAACAGGACAGTGCAGTATGCATCCCATTCCCACCCCTGACAGGTTCTTATGGAAGCTTTCCACACATACCCTACCCCTTACCTACAAAATTAAAATAAGGGATACTACTTTATGAATTTTCTGTTTCCTTTACATAACTTTCCTGCTCCAAAATCTCCTTCTATTCTATGCCAGTTTTTCTGATATATCCCTCTCTCTTCCCTTTTAAACGTGTTTTAAGGGGGTTGAACCCATGCTACCGCAAATGGAGTGAGTTCCAAGTGCCAAGGGTCTGCAAGAGTGTAGGAAGGAGAAGTCTGGTCAGACTCCCCCTTCTTGCTGCAGCCCCTTGGCTGTATGAGATAAGCTGTGATCACACTGGCGGCTTGGTGCCACCTCGAATTGAACCGGGTTAAAGTGTAGTGGGATATATCAGCCACACAGCACACCCTGCTGTGGGTTACCCACGGAGACATCCCATGGTAAAACATCCACATTATTGTGGTGCCTCAGCCATGGAGTGAACTGCAAAAAACCCCCCCAAAACCATGTGTGTGCATAGTACGCATGCGCACATAGGCAATTCTTTTAAAAAACTGTCTCCGTAGTGGCAGAACAGATCTGCAGGTTCACACTGCCAAAGTCCTTTTGTGCACACTCCCCCGTGTTCAGACATCTGGCCATGTGCAATGAATGCACGGGGAAACAAAAACACCACTTCAGAGCTGGTGACTTTTTAACCTGACTCCCAGTCATCCTCTGATGGGGTGAGTATGCCCGGGGAACGCCTGACAGATGTGGCTGTGTGATCCTGCCCATTTAATCCGTTTGTAAAATGTGCCTATATCAGGCCAAACTGCCAGTCTGAACACAACCTTATTCTTGAAAGGCATTCATTTTTAATGTGATGGCTTGCCACCCCTTGCTACTTTTTTTTTTAGGGTCACTCTTCCTCCTCTCTTTGCTGCCTCTATCATACAAACTCCATTAAATGTTTCTCTTTCTGTCACCAGTTAAAAAGACCTCCACTGCAGGATCCAATTAGCTTTGGTGCTGTGTGTTCAAATGGATCTGGAACACATAGGGTGCATCCTTTCAGAAAGGGCTCAGCTTTCCCTAGGAAAGGGCAATCGATTAAAACACTAAGTACAAAAAGAACTCTCAACTGTTCCACTAGTTCTCCCCTTAATTTGACCCCACCTTTCTGGAATATTGGTCACACATGTTTGGAAATGGATGATAAAGTTCTTACCAGAGGAATGTAAAATGGGACATTGCTACCACCATACTAGCAGTGTAGTGGAGCGAAGGGCTGGAAGATGCCCTTGACTAATATCTCTAATTCAACACTGTGCAGATATCTAACAAAGAATCTGCTACCCTCCTTATCTATACTTGCTTCTTTGATTTCTATCATGGGGATTAATGCTATATATTTCAGGTTTCAGCTTCAAGATGTTCTCCAGCCTCAAAAAAACTTGACCAATCAATCAGCATAGGGCAATGTAACATGAACAGCCAAGACAAGAGACCAGCAGAAATGTTTTATTTGGCTTTCTTAAAAATAAATAGAAAAATGTTTTGCATGCTGTTTACTTTGTATGTCAACAGCTTTTCAAGCAAGTATATATTGTCATTCGACAGCTACAAGACCTTCCAGTTTATGTTTTGAAACCTGAAGATGGTAATGGGCCTGAAAGGACATTGCATCGTGATATACTGCGGCCATGTGGTTTCATTTCAGTTCTTGATGAGGGGGAATCTCAACAAGATGTTCACTCTGATCACAATCTGCCAGATATTAACGAGTTGGCTACAACTGAAGACCCAGTTCTTAAACCACTAGAGTCCAAACCAACTGTTGAATTGAATCCTAACGCATCTGAGTTTAAACCAAATGAGTCTAGTCCTTCATGTGTGCATGATACTTGGCTGTCACCCACTGAAAGTACAGCCCTATTAGACTTTCCTGATACAGTACCAGAAATGCAAGGGAGTGCACTGTCTGATGTCTCAGTTGAATCATCAGTACTTGAGCTGGAAGAAGGACAAATGGAGACACAAGATTTTGAAACCTCGACGCAAGAAGCCACGGCCGAGGGTTTGCCCCGTAGACCACGAAGACAAAGGCACATTCCTGCAAAATTTCATGATTATGTACATAACCTTTTACACACAGCCATTCTCCAGGGTTCTGCACCCACACTACCCCATTGTGTATAAGGATGTCAGGGACGACATCGTTTTAGTAGGGGAGAATGTAACCCATGCAGTTTTGTAGCTGTTAACAGCATACAAGGATCAAGCACGCCTGCTTTTGCCAATAGGTGGTGTGGCAATCAACTCCCTTTATGAGCATGCTCAGTGTTTGTAGCCTTCCCTAAAGGAGGCTGGGTATTCCCAGCAGCCAGCAGTTCAGCCTGGCCCAGAAAGAGGCAACATCTTGGGGAGAGGCCTATATAGACTTGGTTGTGTTAAGGCCTGCCTTGAATTATTGCAGGTAAATGCTGTTAACCAATGTAATTATTAGAGATCCTTTCAAACAAAGGTGAAGTTACTTCTTGGGAAGTTATTAAATGTTGGTTTGGGACTATTAAGATACTTAATAGTAATTTCATATGCTTGTGAAAATATGTAATTTTATAGTTATTGATCCTTTTAAATATCTTCCTTAGTATTCTGTTTGTTAAAGCAGCCAGCAGTTCAGCCTGGCCCAGAAAGAGGCAACATCTTGGGGAGAGGCCTATATAGACTTGGTTGTGTTAAGGCCTGCCTTGAATTATTGCAGGTAAATCCTGGAGTCAACTGAGAAGAGCTGCAGCCTCCCAAGTACAGCCTGGAAACCTCATATGCTGTTCCAGTATCTGTGAGCTTACAACATATGGACTTACAATATATGTATTATTTATGTGCTTAGTAATTTTTCTGTTCTGTGCATCTTTGTGGATGCTGAAGATATCTGTACTTAGTAATATCCTGAAGATTAATTGCTATGAAGTAATAGCAACTAACCAAAAGTGAATGAGGATTTATATGAAAACCTCCATGCTTTGTTTATATAAAGAGTTTATTTTAAATGTTAAAGTGCATTGGTTGTATTGCCTCTTTTATGCCTGTGTTTAAGTACATGTGTAGTAACAGCAGTTACATATTGTTAATAACCATAGGTGGGAGTTCCGCTGTCAATACCGACTGAACCTGCCCACTCTCCCTACAAATATTAGGACCTTAAGTGGGTTACATATTGCTGAGATTATTTCTTTTGTTGAGGTATTTATACCTCACTTCTCTCCCCAGTGGTGATCCAAAGCACCTTACAACATCGTCCTCTGTTTTATCCTCACAACAACAACCCTGTGAGGCTGAGAGAGTGTCTAGAGTAAGGTCACCCAGCAAGCTTTCATGGCAGGGCAGGGATTTGAACTGGGGTCTCTCAGATTCTAGTCTGACACTCTAACCACTACCTGACACTGGCACTCTTTCTTTGTATGGCATGTCTGACCTATGGTAGGATATACCTGTCCTTCTGGCATATGCAGCCTGGAGTGAAAATGTATCACAACTGAGTGTGTGTTTTTAATTAGAT